GCGCGATTTAGTGATTTGGTTCTTCAGTGGCAACGACTTCTCGTGCGTGTTGCGTCATGTTTTCTCGAAATCGCTGCTCGCTTGAGTCGTCAATGTTTTAAGTGTAGAATTTGTCAATTTTCGCGAGAAAAACGGAATTGAAATTCATTGACACTTGGAATTCAGTCTTGTTGACATTTCTAAGAATGCACTATATACCACTTACTGCTTTTCCCTTATTTTCTTCTAACAAAAACCAGCTAGTTAGCCCAGCTGGGTCAGATCAAGTTATGGATTATTTCTTTTGTTAGCCTGGCATCCGGAAAACATCGAAAAATCCTGCACACAAAAAGATCTGAAGCTGTCATGACAGTCGTATTCAAAGCCTCAAGATGATTTAATGCACTTGTATTAGGTTGGTGCAAAAGTAATGCGCGTTTTGCGAGCTCTCACTTTAATGTGTTATAACTCTCTAAAAAATCTACATTTTTCAATGCGGCAAGAAACATTGGAGAAACCAAGCCTTGCACAATACAGCGCATAGCACCCTATACTCATATCTTTAACGGGCAGAAAAATATGGTTTGATAAGCAGAAAAAAAAATTTTGAAACCTTGTCTTCAAGTGATCATAACTTTCTTCAAAATTTGTTAGTATAGATAGTAAATAGCCTATATTGTAGGCGGAAGCCAGTAGTACAAAAAAAATTAAAAAGGGCCGAACAGAGAAGATATTGCCAAAAGGAAAAAATTAAAATCCAAAATTGCCCGCTTTTTTGGACATTTTTTCGCAGGCCTAAAAATCCCAAAATATGGAATTTTTTTTGATTTTCTGCGTAATGAACAGCTACACAATTCTGGAAAGACTATCAGTAGGAAGCCCATCCTTACTCTTACAGAAATGAGCAAACTTAGGCGATTGCCCTCTTCACAGGAAATTTATGTTTCCCAGAACAAAATAACTGTTTATGCTGAGGCATCGAAATCTCAGTATAGGTAATTTTTGAGAAAGTGGTAAAATGTGCATAGTGTAGGCAATTTCTATCAAATACAGTAGCTAAAGTTCCAAAAGTTTCCCTTTATTTGGGTTTGTTTTCTGGCCAGAAAAGTAAATGCAATTAAATTCTGGTTTCGAGTGCGGTTGTGTGAAGCTCTATTATTTTTAACTAATGAAGCTAAAAGCCCATTTCAACAACCATTGGATAGAGGATGAAAGAGTCTTTTTGGCAATGTGCTAAGTTTTTACCAAAGAAGAAAGTTTGATGGAGAAAAGTTGTCCTAAAACAAGGACTAGAAAAACGCGCATTACTTTTGCACCAACCTAATACAATAGGTTTCTGGCTTGAATCCACTCCGTATTACCAAATTCGATGGTTTTTTGATTTCAAGAATTCGTTAAGAAATCTAAGCTGTTCAAAACGGCATCGGCCAAGCGACGTGTGCGAATGGCTGTTAGCGGCGAATCGGTACGATGCACGCGAACTTTGCCCTGCGGCCCTGTCGAAGCACATAAAGTGTTAAAATAAGCAGAAAGCGTTATATGCCAATTTTTTTCAGAGCTGCGCCTCGGATTCCGCAAAAACGATGTCCCTTGTGCGTTTTTCAACGAAAACGATTTTCAGCGTGACATTTGCCCACCTCGTGCCGAGCTTGCACCTACCGGCCTTAGATAAGGCCGAGAAGACCGAAACGGGTTGAAGCCTCCTTTGCTGTGTGACTACATTGTTGCTGTATTACGAGCTACATTGTTGCTGTATTACGAGCTCTTGCTGCTGCTGGTTCACTGTCACTACAAGATTGCTTTTGAAATCGGGTATATTTTCCGTTTAAATAGTGTGCTCGCGGTGCTGACGTGATGCGGTAAAATTTGCGCGTGAGCAACATTACAGGCGTAGCTATTTGTTCACGCGCAGAATTGCATGTACATTATATTACACGGAAAATTCATTTGATTGTAAAGTCATCTGCACGAGATCGCTTATGTGACTGTATGCTGAACGTCTTGTGCGTGGCGCGCTCGGTCGCCGACGGCATGAGTCATCTAAATGCTAAAGCTAGCTCGCACGCCTCAATTTAAAGGCAGCGGCTCGGCAGATTGACCTTCCTCAGATTATGACACAGATGGATAGGAGGCCCTCCAAGTGAACCAAAACAGCAACTCCGCGCCGAAAATGTGAACTCTACAAGCCAGGGGGCGGCCCAAGCGCCGCTCCCCTTCCTCCTTTCGCTCCCCTTACACCTTGTTCGAACGAGTATTCTCTGCTAGACGGCGCGGGACCCCCCACCCGCTTTCCCGCATTGTGCATGCTATACAAAGCCAAAATTACAGGCAGCAGGGTCTTCGTGACAGGACCTCCCGACTTTCCTTTGAAAATTCTCGTCCGAGCTGCCTTTTGGAAATTTAAAAAAAAACGCCTCGAAAAAATCCTTTTCACCCCTTTTAAAGCTCAGATTCGGGATCTACGGGTCGAGAAGGCCCAAAACATGCAAAAAGATGGAAATGCAGAATCTGCCGGGACGCTGCCTTTGAACCAGATATCCACGACCAGTTCTGCACATGTTTCAGATGCGCATTACAGTCAAGTAAATTGCAGTTTGACATACAGTGACCGCCAAAAAGTTGCGGACAAACCCCTCTTCCTTTTTCATCGTTCTTTTCCAGAGGGAAAACAAGGATGAAAAAAACGTAATAATTGCACGAGGTGACAGAGCTTTTCAAAATCTACAACATACACTTTGAGCTTTTTGAGAAACATGTATTCTAAAAATTTTAAGTATCTTTTTCTTAAAAAAGTCCGAAAATGGCCGCGTCACAATGTCGCGGACAATAATTCTTCGAACGCAAAAATTTTCTTTTGAGTCCTATTTTAAAGCGGAAACACAAGTTATCTGAATGGGTAAGCATACTACTATACAGAGCTCGTCAAGAACTACACACTTGTTATGGTTGCTTCCCCAAAAAACGCAAGCCTGAGTTTTATTCTGCTTTTCTCAAAAAAAAAATAACTTCTGAATTCCTTTATTAAGCCAAATTTCTTCGCACGAAAACCTGTTCAAGACATCCCAACAAAGCCGTCTGGATAAAATAGATGCTCTTTGCCACCCTCTATGCATCGGACGTGTGCTGATGAGTTTCTTTGCTGAAAATGGCCCTTGGCACTGCTTGCACATGACCCCAGCTGCACCTCACCTCTGACTTGTACCGCTTTGCAGGCTTATAACTCGGCCTGCAGTCAATTCGAAAGAACGAGACTTCCTGGATACGATGATATGCAAATGACTTGAGTTTGAATAATTTCAGAGATTCGGCGGATGGGGTGAAAAGTGCAGCCTTAGAGGTGATTGGAGTGAAGGCTCTTATGAACACGAGAACAGTCTTAGAGCTTCGAAATGGATCTATTACAAGAGAATTGACAGTTTTGAACTTCCAGGATGAAATTGGTAGCGAAAGGAGCTCTCTTCAACTTCAGCTGAAAAGTGCTTAGCTTACAACTGAAGCTGCCCTCTTCCACCCCATCCACAATATCTGTGGGATTGCTCAAACTGAACTTATTTGCATACCATCGTGTAGAGGAAGTCTCATTCTTTCGAATGAGCCTAATTGCAGACTAAACCTTGACTGCAGGCCGAGTTACAAGCGTGCAAAGCGGTAGAAGTCAGTGGTGAGGTGCAGCTGGGGTCATGTGCAAGCACTGCCAAGGGCCATTTTCAGCCAAGAAACTCATCAGCACACGTCCGATGTAGAGGACGGCAATGAGCATCCATTTTATCCAGACGGCTCTGTTGGGATGTCATGAACAGGTTTTCGGGTGAAGAAATTTGGCTTGATAAAGGAAATTAGAAGTTATGTTTTGAAAGAAGCAAAATAAAACTCAAGCTTGCGTTTTTTGGGGAAGCAACCATAACCAATGTGTAGTTCTTGACGAGCTCTGTATAGTAGTATGCTTATCCGTTCGGATAACTTGTGTTTCTGCTTTAAAATAGGGCTCAAAAGAAAATTTTTGCGTTCGAAGAATTATTGTCCGCGACATTGTGACGCGGCCATTTTCGGACTTTTTTAAGAAAAAGATACTTAAAATTTTTAGAATACATGTTTCTCAAAAAGCTCAAAGTGTGTATTGTAGATCTTGAAAAGCTCTATCACCTCATGCAATTATTACCTTTTTTCATTTTTGTTTTCCCTCTAAATAAGAGCGGTGAACAGGGGAGGGAGCCTTGTCCACAACTTTTTGGCGGTCACTGTATGTGCACTGCACAGCGCTCGATATTTGAGATTTTTGACTTTACCGATTACTATAAGTAAGCAATCGTAGGTTGCATGTGTTATGTGCGTGAAGCATAATCATATTGTAGGTTTCCAGGAAAAGACCCGCAGTAAACCCCACTTCACTTCAGATGATCTTAACTGAGGGGCTGAGTTGAGGTACTTAAGATAAACTGACCAGCGGCCACTCCCACATGCTTAAAGGCAGTGGGTCGGCAAAGCTCAACAACTCAAAATTTTAACGAGTTAGACTCCTTATTGTCCAAGTATGAAAACAGTGCAATCCCGGCTGCACAGCATGCCTTCCTTGCCGAGAAAATTGCTCTCAAACTTGCCTACGCACAGGCCATTCTTATACGCATCCGGACGAGTTGGCACTTCTCACTACTGGAGGCTGCCCGCCGCAATCTCAGACACTCGCACCGGCCCGCGACCGGCCGACGACGGCCTTCCGGCCGGCGGCCGTTCCATTATTTAGGGCGGAGCCAAATACCGGCCGGCCACCGGACGAGTAAATTGCGCCGGCCGGCGTCCGTTCCACTGTGCAAAAGCTCGGAAAGCGCACAAGATTGCGCGTACAGTAAGAAAATAATTTCAAACGTCGGGCGCGTGTGTCTTTTGAGCAGGAAACTTTCCTGTATTGGTTTTCCTTTGTTATTGTTGGGGTTTTCCACTTGGGTTGCATCACTTTCTATGTCCGAAATTGATAGTTGATGTAACCCATTAATATGATTCTGTTCATTCCACTCTCTTTTTCAGATTTGATCAAATTCAGTGGTGTTCATATCCCTTTTTCTATAATCTTGCTTACTTTAAGTTGAATGGCGAATTTATTTTGATTTGAATGGCGAACTGCTTATTTTGACTTGAATGGCCAAAAAGCCGAACGTCAGTGAGTTCATGCTTATTTGCTGTGACGGTAAGTCTATGTGTCGCATCCTTTTTTGGGTACGAACTAATGAAGTACAAATTGAATGTTCACTATTTTTCAGGAGACAACTGCAATATGTATGGTGTTTGCGTTCTTGTCTTTCTGAAGGAACTACAGCGAATGGTTGACTGCAGTGGCGTACCCAGGATTTCGGCTCGGGGGGGGGGGGGGCGCGACAAAAATTTTTTTCTAAAGAAGGTGCGTGGCGTTAGCCACGCACTCCGAAAATTTTTTTGGGGTGCTTCTCAAAACTTTTGTGGGTCCCCGACCCCTAAAATCTAGAAAAAGGGGGCGTGGCTGACGCCACGCCCCCGAAAAAAAATTTTTTACAAAGCTAATTTGAATTTTAAAAATTTTTTAAAAATTATTTTCATTATTTACAAAAAATAAACAAGTCACTTGCACATTTTTATAACCCACATAGGTAACTTTCAAAAATTTCGCGACCCATTCTCGAGTACTCTGCGTTGATACCACTGCTTCCCCTCCGCCCCCCCCCCCCCCCCCCTCGGTACGCCACTGGTTGACTGCTCTGTTGTTATTCGTGAAATTGAGTATTGCTTCTAACGGATGTTCCTCTACATATTCACATTTTTTGGATGTCTGGACTTTTCTGACTTGTGGTACTTCTGATCTGGGTTCTTCTGACTTCTGGACTTCTGGAATTTCTGATCTGTTGGGTATTCGAAAACTCATCTGGATACCTTCATCTGTCACTTGCTACTATGCTGGCAACATTTACGGTTCGGACTATCTGATATTCTACCGCATTCCTGCTAATCTGATGTGGTCACGGCTGCTGGACCCACTCCGATGTAAGTTCTTTTTGAACATCATTTAAAATTAGCGTTGCGGTGTTTTCCAGAGACTAATACAATCATCTATTCTAAACGTCTACTGTAATGCACATGTTTCTGGTATTGCTCTACTAACAAACATTATCGCAACTCTGTGCATAGCATGTAAGTTCTGGTGTCAGATAAAAATGTAGTAGTTTGTTTCATTTATAGGCCATCGAATGCAGCTCGTTATTGCTTACGTGTGCGTATAAAAGCACAAGAATTAAAACATTTTGTGACCCACCGGCGCATTTCGGAACGCTTGTACGACGATGTGTGGACCTGTTGCTTCAAATGATCTTTCCATATAGATAAAAAGTTGTTAGCTTTGTAGTCAAATGTATTTTTCGTGAACCCGTGTGACATTCCTTTTTGTCAGTGTTTCTTTGCATTGTATAGTGTTATAATAAATACGTTTATGTAGATTTGTACCACCATGTATTGAAATACAGTGCTAAAAGCTAGAATTTAGAGGAAGAGATACTGTGGCCCAGTGCCATTTCGCTGCGCCATTGATGCATACCGGCCCGCGGCCGTACGAGTACCGGCTGGCGGCCGCACGAGTACCGGCTGGCGGCCGTTCGAGTACCGGCTGGCGGCCGGCTGGCGACCGTTCCGGCCGAAATGTCGGTGATGGACCGGCCGGTCGTGGAACGGTCGCCGGCCGGTGCGAGTGTCTGAGATGCTATATCCATTGGGTCCTGCAACGATTCGGCATCATCAGCCTTGCTGCACTCGTCCAATTCCAAAGGGAAGGGCATTGGAAAACGCTCGTTTTCGGCGTTTTCAAGCTCTCAAAAGTGGATTTTCGGAATCAGTGTATTGAATAATCCCAGGTAAGCGAAAAATTGACTAAGTTGAGGTTTGCCGAGCCACTGCCTTTAAGAATGCGACCTGATCTGACGGGTGAGCGTCAGGCCAGGTGCCGCGATGAATTACCTGAAATCCGTAAGAGCAGCGTCGATTTTGAGATGAATTGACCGGAATAGTGTGCAAAGGATGAGACGCAGAGAAAAATCCCGTAAGTTGCTCGTTAGTAACTTACGGGACATTTTATTTGACGTATTGTTGCGTACAAGAACGCGCAAAACTGCACAATACCGGTGCTCAAAAATGAAAGGATCAATAAACAGCTGATTTCGGCAAGAAAACAAGAGGATAGGTTTTTTCCTTTTTGCAGAGTTTGCGTAGGTTATTTTTAGAAAAGCTACTTAGAGCGACAATCTCTTTAATTATTTCCATTCGATTTGTCCCTACTTCCTCAATGTTTGATGAAATCTTTGTTAAAAAAGCGTAGTTTTGCTATTTGCATTCTTTTGGTTTGTGGATTCCTTGATAGCGGCCGTCATCGATTTTCTTCGATAGTGGCCGCTATCAAAGATTGTTCAGTGATGCACAAAAATTTGCCGCTGGCCGGCGCCGAACCACTGTCACGCGGGCTGAATATCAATCACATACCCGTTTGAACAAACAACCCCCACAAGCGATGTAGGTGTTTCCTCTTTGATAACGCGCAAGATTTTTATACCTGAAAAGCGATCCGCATCTAGATCAATGGCTCGCCGGACTGAGGCGCCCCACGATCAACCCCGGTCCGTTTCAGGGCAGACCCCCTGAAGAGGGGTTTACTACGGGCCAATGTCTCGTCATGTGCTATCATGCAGTATCGCGACGGAGTGAGCACAAAAAAAGCGAGTGGTTTACAGTTTGATAGACAAAGGTAAACTTTACAGGAAGAAGGTTTTGTATTTGCATCAAGTTTGACTTATCTGCAGTTTGAAGGCAAAATAAGGCCCTAAACGCCTGAAAATCGACAGATACCGTACGGAAAATACCCAACTTGCCCACGCTTACACTCCCTACGTCAAACAATTATGCACAATTTCCTAACTGTCTTGAAAAACACCGGTAACCAAAAGTCTGACATGCTTTCGCCAAAGTAATCCTAAATAACTGAATTTCCAACTTTTGGTGAAATAACCACGAGTTCTCAGTTACTTGTAAGCCTTAGTTCAAAAAGAAGAAGATACAGCACAAAAGAGAAATGGTGTTCTATCATGTTATGTTGACAGGGACTGAGCAAAGCCGGTATCCCAATATTAAAAATGGTTCAGAAAAAAGCAGTCTTGAGTAAAGACATCGAACTCTGGATTTCCTCTATGCACCCTCGAAATTAAGACACCTTTTTTTAATTGACATATCATAGAGGCAATGTCTTGCCAAGAATTTGCTTTTGCATTTTTTGCGCTATACAGGCCTTCTCGACCTTGTACAACGCTAGATGGGTTCAGATTCCTTAAGAATCTCGAAAACCCCACTTTTCGAAGGTCTTACAGAAGAAACCCGGGTGAGATCAGTCCCTGTGCTTAGCCTTTACCGCAGGGTTAAACGCTCAAGTGTCAGGACGCAAAAGGGCTATACCACGAGTTGCCCAACGCGATCCAAATCGCCTCCTGCGGGCCACTTTAAGTGCAGTTTTCTCGGGGTTTGGAAGACCAAATAGAGTAGAGCTTGGACTTCTGCCTAATTAGGTGGTCCTCTAACAAAATATATAAAGATTCGCACAGTTTCAAATTGGTGAGACGCTACCTTTGAATGCCTTTGTTCTAGCATTATCAAAATGATCCTCGTTATTGCTGTGTGCAACTAATCTAACAGATTAATATTGTTCTATCCTTTCTGAGCGGTAAGAACTGCTTTTTATTGTATAGCTAATGTCACTCTCATGTCTTTTTTACTGGCATCAAACTAGTCTCAATGCAAAGTCAATCAATTTCGCCGCTGTCTGGTCTGGTAAAAGCTGTAGATTACTGTCGTATACTTTCAGGCTAGTGGGATATCTCACATTTGTTTGCAATATGTTGCTGTTTGTTATAATTCAAAAAATTTAGCGTTTCGTTTGCCATGCTCATTACATCAAGTATTCTTTTGTAATGAATAGAAGTTTGCTTGTTAGTACCAAGATTTAACAACGAAAAGTATTAATTCAAGTTTAGACTAGTATTTGAGCAGATGCTCTCGCCTGCACTCCACATTTGATTCCGACCCGTATGCATGAAAACATGAAAACCCCCTTCGGCGAGGAGCGGCGTCCCTCATTACGGAATGCCGGTAACGCGTTCGCCGAGGCCCTTTTAGAACAAGGCGCCCTTTCCTCACAGCTAGGAATTTCATGCAAACGGGCCCCGAACACTCCTTGTATCCTACTATAAGGGGGCACCAGTCAGCGGTATTGACTAGTGTACAAGATGAGAATTGAGAGTTTAACCCGGTCACAAATAAACTTTATGCGCTGCCTCCTGGGCACGAATATGCACTATACTTTAGTCCGAGTCGAATAAAAGCTAGGTCACCTAAATAAAACATGCAAATATATTTATTCGCAACTAGGTGTTTAAGAATAGAATACAGAAACTGAATAAAACTGAGGTTTTGAATAATCGAATTGAATAATTAAAAGCCGCGATTTTGAGGAAGTAGTATCCAAATCTTTTCTTCGAATGTTTTGTTCAAAGTGTTCGAATGACATCGGTATTCGAATTTCTCGAGTTTGGTGCAGAAGAACCACGTCGACCAATTGTCAGCAAGTTTTAGGGGTTGTTGGAATTAATCACTCAAATATTTATTCGAAGTTCGACGCTCAATGTTTGAATAATATGGACATTTGTTTATTCGGAACTTTTGATTTTCGAATTTTATTCGGTATTCGTGTACTCAAAATTTTCGGATTTTGGACTTCGATATTTATTTCTAATTTTAATTTACTATTTGGTATGAAATATACATTCAGATCTACTTCTACAAAGCTGTTTCATGTCATTGATTCAAATAAAAGCTCAAACGCAAATGGTCTGAGTGCTGAATAAACTCTTTTATTTCAAGATCATGAGTATCGTTTTGAGATAAATATTAGGTTGTCAAGAAAATAATGTCCGTTTTTATTTGCTTGCTTTAACAAAGCAAACAGACTCATCCCAACAAAGGGTAAGGGGTACTGTTCGATAGAGCAAAGCAAGCTCTAAAGATGGCACTCATGTCTTTGCGCCATGCTCGATCCACGGAGAGTTCGAACTTAAAATCTAAAGATTTCCAAATGCCCAAAAAATCGAAAAAAATCAGATCTTCGTCCAAATAATTTCTACGAACCTCCCACTCGCTCACATCATTACTATCAATATCTGATATCCATATGTGCGATTGCCATATTTTTTCCTTGATTAGAAACTGAGAAAACGAAAATTTCCCTGATTTTCTCAAAGCAAAGCTGAGCCGTTTTTGCATATGTAATTCTATACTACAAGCCTAGGTAGGCATGACTGTAGGTTTTCAGCCTATTTCGAGCGGTACTTTTCGAGAAATGTCGATTTTAGCACTGAAGCTGAAACGAAAAAATCCGAATTCGTTATTTTTCGAAAACTACCGCTTGGAATGGGCTGAAAATCTACAGTTATACTTACCTAGGCTTGTAGTATAGAACTACATATGCAAAAACGGCTCAGCATTGCTTTGAGAACATCAGGGAAATTTTCGTTTTCTCAGTTTCTAGTCAAGGAAAAAATACGGCAATCGCGCATATGGATATCAGATATCGATAGTATTGATGTGAGCGAGTGGGAGGTCCGTAGAAGTTATTTGGACGAAGATCTGATTTTTTTCGATTTTTTGGGCATTTGGAAATCTTTAGATTTTGAGTTCGAACTCTCCGTGGATCGAGCATGGCGCAAAGACATGAGTGCCATCTTGTAGAGCTTGCTTTGCTCTATGAACAATACTCCTTACCCTTTGTTGGGTTGAGTCTGTTTGCTTTGTTAAAGCATGCAAATAAAAACGGACATTATTTTCTTGACAACCTAATAGTTTAGAGCTCCCCGAGGTCAGATTTCCTTGTGCACATATTTATGCACAACATGTACATGAATAATAAAGTCAGCTGAGAGCCTCATTTTTATTGGACGAGACACAGTAACTTTCCCACTTTATAGCTACTTACACTGTTCTGAACATCTTCTCCAAAAATTTTGTCATTTGATGAATTACAGTGGTCCTTTCGACCACATCCGATCAATTTCGCGGGCTTCAGAATCTGAAATATTTTTAGACTGTTTTTGTAACTGATAATGCAATTTTTATACCTGAGTACATCCACTATTATAGTGCCCTTGCGGCACCGAGATTAGGTGAAAAAATTAGCGTGTGAATAAAAAGCTAACGTTGAAAATTTGCGCGTGCAAAGTTATGTTTACGATTACATCTACGATTGTAGATGATAATATGATATAGTTTAT